GTGTGTGTGTTGTTGTTGTATATATATATATATATATATATATATATGTATATATATACACATATATATATATATATATATATGTATATATATACATATTTATATATATACATATATACATATATATATATATACACATATATATTTAATGCAAATGCACCCCCAAGATATAGTGTACAACCCAAGACCTTAAGTATATACATGTACACCCCTGAACCCTAGAGACAGAGACTGAAACACACCTCCTGATCTAGAGCGGCGATGAACTTTTCCACATAGTGCTCGTCCGAGAAGCGCTTTCGAATCGCCTCCTCCGCATCAGTGCGCACTCCAGCATAAGGACCCTCTGCACAACGCATGCAAGTGGAAGTACGGTGTAGGGTTTAGGGTTTAGAGTTTAGCATTTAGCGTTTTAGGGTTTGTGGAAGAAAGGCAGCACCGGCAGGGAATATGATCGAGTGAGTGGACAAAGTGTTCTAACGGTACATGCCACCCAACTGACAGGCGACATCAACGCCACCCGTGACGCACCTGCACCCAAATAATAGGGCACTCCCAGGGTCGAGGTCTGCCATCCAGCCCAATTCTTGTCCACAAACACTGTGCGCTGGTACTCTTCTTCAGATCTAGGTGCGTGTTCTGGGTCAAACATTCGCTCTCGCCTACAAAGCGAAACCAAACAGTCAATGCGCACTGGTCAGTTTTATGAACACCTCAGGTAGAAAACGTTAAGATGTCAGCAGAACCAAGGACACCTTACATAGACTATACAACCATGTCAATAGTACGTACACCTTAAGTAGAAAACGTTAACATGACAGTAGTAAGAAAACCATAGATAAACTACAACACTAAATCATAAAACCCAAATAATTGATAGCATGGACCCATTGAGCTCAAGCCAGTAACAACACAGAGACACTTGCGGCAGAGGTGGCACTCCATTGATTCAATGCGCAGCAACTATGCAGAAATAAGAGTAGACCCTAAACCCTACAAACACAGTCCAAATACAGATACATTAGGTATGGATGTATGTTGCCCAAATGTAGTGCAGGGTAGTGTGCACACCTTTGGAGTGCCTGAGGTTCTGAGAATGTGCCCCAATGTTTGTTCGTGACCTTTCGGCGTTGGCAGTAAAGTATCGTCTGTGGCAAATGGGAAATTGGTATTTGTAGTTGAATGTTGTTTGAGTGAGTCAGGTCTCTGATGAAGAATGACATGGCTGGGCTGGATGCAAATCCAAAACTGTATACACCCACATACAGATGTAGATATAGATATAGGCATAGATATACAGATATGCATACACACACACACACACACATATATAAA